GCGGCGGGGTCATTTGCTGAGCCAGCCTCCCGCCTGTCCCCCTCCAGCCCCCGCACCAACTGCCCCAACCCTGCCTGCTTTCCGCCTGCTTTTCGCCAAAGCCGGCAGCCCAACGGCCTGTGCACCCGCCTCCCTGCACCCGAAGCAATCCGCGTCGCGGCATCAGCCATCCCCTTTCGCACCCCCATCACCACCGCACTCTTCAACCCTCCCCTCAGCAATCCCTCATGCCACTGCGCCCGGCGCGGCTGCCGCGAGACCGTCATTCACGCAAAGCCATGGGCTGCCGACTGCTGCCTTTTGCAGCGCCCGCTCACCTCTTTCGCCTCTGCCTCGCGCGCCGCGCGCCGCTGCTCCTCCGCCTCTTGCTTCTCCTGCCACGCCACCTGCATCGCCGCGCTGATTTCCGCCTGGCGCCGCATCTGCACACGCGGGCAGTCCGGAACGGAGGGAGGTGCGGCTGGCGTGCGTGCCCACGTGTCGCGGCTTGCGCTGTGCAGTTATACTAGTGCTGCTGCACAAACAAAACAACAAACGGGTTTGCTGCCATATACGATTACAACTTGCGCTTGGCGACCCAAGGAATGGGGCACAGCGCACCCAGCGCAGCCGCACACACCTGCTGAAGGCGACGCAGGTGGCGCAGCTGCTGCTGCTGCGCTGTCAGCAGCAGCGACTCCACATTCCTGCACGATAGATGGCAAAAGGCTGTAGTCGCTCCATGCAGAAATATCCTAGCCGTCAGCCTGCACCCTCTCGCGACAGCAGGCCTGCTGCATTGGATTGCAGGCGCAGCGGCGGATGCCTGCGGCGGGCACGCTTACCTCAGGCTAAGCGTTGACGGCGTGAGGCCGATGCCTGTGGCTGCTGAAGAGCATGCCTCTGGTATATCCACCGCCCCTGGAGCCTCCGACTCCGCCATGTGGCCCTGGTGAAAGGATTGAGGGGAACGGGACGCCCACGAGCCTCTGAGCGGGTCTACCACTGCGTTTAAGAGGATATTACAATTTATTTTGTGATAATACCGACCGAGCAACCCCAAATCGTCTCCCTCCGTGGCTGTTTGCGGCCTGGGCTTTCACACGTGCCTTCGTTGAAACAATGTGGTCTATGTATGCGTATCTGTTGTTACTGAAGTGATTTCAGCGCTCGGAACACAAGGTCAGAAGCAGGAGTCCAACACTTGCATCTACCTCCCTTCCCTCAGGATGCGAAAACACAGCATGTCAAGTGCGGCGCGCACCTTGTACTTGACTGCAACTGCACCCATCCTGTGCCTACATGGTAACATTCTTGTGAGTTGAGAGCAGCACATGCAGCAGCTGTGTGGCTGGCCGGTGTGGGGGGTCCTGGTTCGGCCCAACAGGTTCCTGAGCCAGCGTTGTGCCCTTTCTTGCACACAAGTGTCATGTGCAAACAATACCAACATGCAATCCAAAACCCATCCTAGCTGCACAGGTGCATGAATACATACACATACTGCTGTTGTGTGTGCCCCTTTTCTCATGTCACAATGTGAGTGGCCAGTGGATGGCTGCGTGTTGTTGTGCGCACCAGGCATGCACCCTTGGAGGCCCACTTAGTTTGGCCAGGCGAATTTTGCTGCGGGCAAACATCTGTCGCGTGTGTGAGAACCCTGTCCACCTTTCTCAGTGTCACAGTGTTGAGCGTTGTGTTGTTACACTCTTGGTATACAGCGCGTAGTGTACATATCGACTGATACACTAGGCCACCCAAACAATCGGTGGCAAACATCACTCAAACTGGATTGCGTTGTGTACGCAGCCTCAATGCCCAGCAACGGCTATTGCGCCACGCCAGGGCAGAGTGGCATAAGCACGCGGCGCAAGGTTGCAGCGCTGCGCAGCTTTTCAGGGGGTCGGCAGGTACTTCTGGGCGTAGGCCCTGCAATCGATGCACAAACGGTTGTAGGTGAGTTAGGCAACCTGATCGCCGTGATTGGTGCACCTGTCACAGCAGCGTACTCAGATCGTCAGGCTGATGCCTTTGTAGACTCCAACATCATGTGCGTGCTGACTGCCCCCCCTCCCTCCTGGGGCTCACCAGGCGTTGTTCACGGAGGGGTCAGCCAGGTGGTCCTCCAGGTTCTGGATGGGGCCCTTGCCGGTCACGATCGCCTGCACGAAGACTGCGTACAGGGTGCAGGTGGTGGAGGTTGAGGAGAAGCACGCTGGCAGATTCGGAGGCTGTGCGGGGCACTTCGCCGGCCCCACACAGATGAGCAACCTGCCCAGGCCCAGTGTTCAGTACTCCGGCCCGCACAGATCACGCTCTGCCCAGAACCAAGCGCGCAGGCACAACGATGCTCCCAGACACTCACAGCCGAGGTTGGAGAACAGGGCCAGGCGGCCGTTCTTGATCTCCTTGACCTTGAGCTCAGCCAGGGTGTCGGGGTCGTCAGCCAGGCCCAGGGGGTCAAAGGCCTCGCCGGGGTAGAGCCTGTCCAGGTCCTCGCCGAAGCCGCCGGGCGCCTGGCCATTGTAGCGGTACAGCTCAGCGCCGCCCACCAGCACAATCTGTGTGGTTGCAGGGTCAAGGGAATTGGTTGTCAAGGGACTAGGTCGTCAGAGCGCATCAACCCTCCACAAGGGATGGTGCAGCACATGCAGACCTATCATGTTCAGCATCTGTTCGTCCCTGCAGCGTCTTACTGGGGCCTGCACAGGCAAATCTCCAAGTCTTGGCATACCAACCAACCCACAGCACCCCCAGTCCGCGCCACACACCTGGACGGCCAGGGTGGCCAGGATGGACTGGGCGTGGATCAGGTTGGGGTTGCCCAGGTAGTTGAGACCACCCTCCTGGAAGATGGTGGCACCAGCCTGCGGTGGCACAAATCACAAGATTAGAAGGGTACTTTTACGAAAAGCTGCAGCAGTGGGCGGCAGGGCTGTTACACCGCTCTGCCGATGCTGTCATGCAAGCACGCGACGTAGGTGTGAAGCCGCAGCGCACCTTGAACCACACGCCCTGCGCGGGGATGTCAGCCACGCCGTTCTTGGCCAGCAGCTCAGGGGTGATGATGCCCAGGGCGCCCAGCAGGCCCCAGCGAGCATGGATGAGCTCGATCTCCCTGCAGTTTTATGGGCAAGAAGGTGGCGGCAAGGATCAACACTGAGGGCCACTGCAAGCACAGCCGTTGCGAGCCCTTGCACACCATTGCAACTGCTGCTGTGTTACGCCACCGTGCAGCAAGTTGCCACTGCTGCCGCGCGCACCTGTAGCGGGCGAAGGTGGCGGGATCGGCCGACAGGCCGGCGGTGTCCCAGCCGTAGTCACCGGGGAACTCGCCGGTCAGGTAGGCGGGAGTGTCGCCCTCAGAGAACGGGCCTGTGGTATGGTGTGTTCATGCAGTCAAGGGGTGGGTGATAGGGGTACTGCTTAAAGGGTGTCCGTTGCAAAGGTGCAGCTGGGTAGGAAAATGCTGCGCGCCGGATGCCACCGTGACCATGGGCTGCAGCGCATCGCTCCAGCTGTTCACATCATGCAGCGTTGCCACAGTGCTGGGCGTCGTCGCTGCCTCTGTCCCAGGCTCGGCTGCGTGGTTGAGCTGCGCGACAATACTCCATATCAAGGACCATGCACCGCTGTGACCCGCCGATCATCGGTCCAGTTGCTACTCCCGCGTGATCTTGACATATGGAGCTCACCGAGGAACTTGGGCCTGTCAGGGCCGTACCACTCAATGCCGGCCTTGGCCTGCACGGGGCGGGACGCGGCCTGCAACCCGCGAGAAAGGGCAAGATCCGTTAGCGTGCCGGTCTAGTTCCGCACGATATGTAGGACACCAGGCTCGCTCAAGCGGGGAGCGCGGTTAGGTGAGACGGGTGCAGCACACCCACCTTCTTGCCAGTGGTGGCGCGCGCCGTCACGCGCAGGGCGGTCTTGGAGTGCATCGCGAAAGCCATGCTGGCTGGCTGGGGGTTGTTGAGGGGGTGCTGGGGTGGGGTGGGGATGACTGACGGTAGATGAAGATGTTTAAAATGAGAAAATACTGCTGTATTCATTGTACCGGGGGCGGGCAGGGTTCAAGCGCAGGCGCTCGCCAGTGGGCAGATAGCGGCGACGTAAGGCGCGGGAATGAGTGATGACCACATCCCGTGGGCAGGGCGAGATCTTCCCCCACCCCCCAAATCAGGGCCCCTAGACTCATGCTCATGATGCATCACGATGTCAACCTTCATGCCACACTTGATCGGTGCATTTATATCAGCGAACCGCAATACGTTGGTCCCAGATGAGCTGGGACGCGAAGCGGAGGGTCCCTGTGGGGGGGTGGGGCTGCGCCCTTGCGTGCTGGCTTGGCTTCTTGCGCAGGACAAGCGGGCAGCGCTGCGCATTCATGCACATATTTGTCAACATATTTTTTTGGGTGGGGCATGGACCTTTGGCGCCACCCCCTGCAGCGGCGGCGGGTAACGCCTGCAGCCCATGTGCCGTGGTGCATTGATGGGCGGGTGGGGCTGGCCCTTCAGACTCGGACGCAACAAGCAGAGCGATGCGGTTTGCAGACCGCAGTGGCTGGTTCTGCACGCACGCTGTGGCTCAACCACCAGCTACCCATGCCGGTCTCGCTGCTTTTGCACGGCGCCAAGAGCATGTGCTGCGCAGAAGTCTGCATTGCCTGGGCGGCCACCTGTCCCGCTGCAGCTCGAGCACGAGCCTTTGCAAGAGGCCGTATGTATGCATGGGCTGATGTGCATGCATGCATGTGCCACGTCAAACAGCTGGCAAGCACACATTTGGGCGGACAAGATATCTTAGGCCTAGTGCGGGGCATCAACTGAGCGCGCGCACCGGCAAGCACATGTGCGCCACTGCAAATACAGCATGCTAATGTCTGCGTGGTGACACGCGCAAGAGCTGGCAATCAAGTACAGCCGTACAGTATCCTGTAGTTGAGGTGGCTGACTGGCTTGGCGCGATGGGGATGGAGGTTGCCCAGCTGGCATTGGCTGTCACATAAATCGTGGTTGCACGCCATGGCATGTTGGCAACCAAGTTTCACGTTGGCTGCCCTGCACGTAATCAGCACAGAACAGTTTGAACTGTGCATTTTAGCACTCAGGCAGGAAGGCATGTTGAGGCTCCAATGTGTTGGCTGGCAAGCAAACATTTGACCTGACTTTTCATGTGGGAATAACCTGTAACAAGTGAGGTCTTGAAAAACACAAGTAAGGGGAACAGCAATACGCTGAGCTGGTTTTGTTTTGGCCGGTATCATGTAGCATCCCGGAATGATCACAGCGACCTAGATCATCGCAATCATGCTCGGCGGGAAAGGTGCCAGTTAGGGAAAGCTGGATGCATGCATAGCTCTGCTAGTTGGTGTAGGGATCCTCGCCGTGGGAG